TACTCTTCTTGTGGTTCTTGAGCCCCTAAGGCATAGAAGAGCTGATCTCAAAAGGGAGAAAGAAACCTTTGCTCGTATCCAGGATACAGTAATAATAATAATGTGGGCCTAACTGAGGATGTTCACTGCCAGGGTTTCTTTACGATCTACTCATTAATCTATGCATCATTTATTCCTCACTCTTTTAACAATTTACTAATTCATTTATGGGTTTTATTTCATGCGCGTTCATCTCCAAACAAGTTAATATTTATTTTATCCATTCATTCAATCAATCATTTATTTTTCTTTTTTCCTTTCTAGCCCTCAAACTCCCACACATCTAACCTTACCTGATCTATTCAAAAATGCCAATTCATCATATTTGAGGCTCAGCTTCCCACCAACTACAGCCGCTAACCACAACTCAACGCAGCTAGCTATCAAACACCATACCGAACCAGCCAACAATATCCTGGTTATAGCCAAGTTAAACCTCTTATTTACGCTGACTTTATGTATGAAATTGTGTATGGAGCGATAGTTGGTGTCGAGTGGTTCACTGACACTAAAAATTTACTAAAAATTCGTAAAAAAAAAAAAAAATCCTATCGGAATATGAAGAAGAACAAAATTTAACCAATGATTACCAGACCCTTGAATATTAATAACAGTAGAGCTTTTAATGATTTTTTAAATACTAGTCCTCTTTTAAATTGAAAATATTGTCATTTGGCATGTTTGACGACTCAAAAAATAAAAAATAAAAAAATAAAAAAAAAAATAAAAAATAAAAATAAAAATAAAAACCAAAAACGAAACATAATGATAACAAAATTCATTGAATTTGAGTTCTCATTGTCATCTTTTCTCCGCGGCAAGTTAAGATCCAAATTAATGGCTCGTATATTGCGGTTTGGTATTAAAGAGGGTTTTGTGGTATCCCACATGTACATAGCCATATACCAAATCTTCCTCCCACACTGTACTTAACACCATTTTTCATCTAGGACTTTTTATGGCGATTCTTTTTGTCGAGGGATCTTAACACCTACGCAGAACCTGACTTTGTGAAAAAAGATTCTAGTTAATTTGTCTTACAGATGTCATTTCGCCTTTAGCGGTTTTTTTGTGTTTTAGTTTGTTCATCCTTTCTATGGAGCGCCGCTTTAACTCTTTTAAGATGATTTTATTCACCCGTAAAGAGATTCATTAGCAGGTGGACATCATGCAACTCGATCAGATAAAGGGTTTTGTCAATGGTTCTACCACAGGTAGCTCAATTTATCATTATACTTGTCAATAYGTGACGCACATACACTTCGTATATATTTTTCTGACCATTCTTACTTCTTCCTCCCCCTCTCCTATCCCACAACCCCTTTCGCCCCTACTCACCCTACTCTAACTCGTAACAGGTCCTCTCCAGCCCCCTCTTAGGCTTGCACTTATCCAATCAAAAGGCTCTAATTTTCCCATGAATGAAAAATTAAAAATAATGAGGTATTGGTAAAGGACACAGCCCACTCTAGAAATATAATCATGAAAAATCCACTATTTGAGAATTTAATACTTTTTAGTTTCTTGTTATTGTCTTATTTATACTTAATCATCCCTTTTCCTTGCAATCAGTCACCAATCTAGACAATCTGAGACCCGGCCGGACATCGTTAAATCATTCACCGACGAAAACACATCTCAGGAACAAACAATCTAGTGACTAAACACGGTCAAGCACTCGGCACGGAAATCACAATGCAAATATTTGAGTCCAGAAACTCTCAACTCACTCCTTCTCATACGATAACTTTTTTTTCCTTTTTTTTTTTTTTTTTTTTTTTTTGGGAGAAAAGCGAGTTTGTGATTGAGTCGTAGGATTCTTCATGATTTATTCCTGTTTTGTGTTTTTGGAATACGAGATAAAATCAGAAAAGTGCGGATTCACCTAAGATTAAGGACTAAGCTTTTTTCGTAACCATGGAAACAATGTGCTCAGCCTTTATTGATTTCAATTCATTGGTAGTTCTTAACGTTTTATGCGACGTACTTGATGATCTATAAACGAGGCATAACGAACACGGACTGAGGAGATGTAGAATTCTGGGGTTGCTATAAACCCTTTCGCTTTAGGTATTCGCACTGTGAAAAACCACAGGCAGCCCAAGCGCTGTTTAGAGAATAGTAAAGGGGATTCCAAGATATAGAAAAACTCTCGAAAATCGCACGAATTTGAGCACAGGGAATAAAAACCAACTGATAAAAACGCCAACTAAGGTTACAGAACTTGGGCCGCTTGTGGAAAAAACTGCGCTTATTTTGGAGGTTGGGGAGAGAAGGAGGATCTTAAGGTAAGAACACCCATCTCCCCCACCCCCGTCCCCCTCAAAAAGGGGAAAGAATCTTAGCATTTACCCTGTTAATTTATGTAATGTTCTTTTTGTGGAACAGTTTATTTAATTTATTTTGATTATCAATTTTCTAATCGTTGTTCTTACATGAAGTAGTAGCAGTTTTCGTGCACAATGGTTTTCAAGGTGGGAGAGTTTGATGGGTGGGAGGGAAGGAAAAGGGAAAGACGTAGTGGGAAGAGGATGGGAGAAGAAACTCGCCGATGAGTATAAGCTAAATATACGATAACAGAATAAGTACTAGCGCAAAATTCATCCGTCTCCCGAGGAGGGAGGGGAGGGTGTGGATGATGTGCCCTTTGTGACCCCCCTCTATCAGTGATCTACATTAAAGGACATCTTGTAGCTATATAAGATAAACTAAATACGAACAGAAAGACTCACGACGAGACAAAACATACGCATGTGAAAACCAAACTTCATTCTTTCACCCAGAAAGTTTTTACTCCGTTCAGTTGGGTATCCTGTGGTAGCCCTGAAGAGGATGACTGAGTTCTACCAGGGGTAGGAAGAAAACAAGATGGCGGCCACAACGTGTCGAGTACAACGACTTTTAACATCAAATATTCTGGCCTCAAGCTACAGATCCTTGTCTTCGAGATTATCAAATATATCAAAGAATACTCAGGCTTTGAAAAGATGTGCATCAACGTTTTCTTATGTCCCCGAAAAGGCGGATCCTTCCCTCGGTAGGTTTTTTAGCCAAAAAAATAAATTATCTTACTAAAACTTTAGATTTTTCTATTACTATTCTTTGGACTTCCATCGAATTATTCCTGCTTTCGTCTATATCGATATTTCGTGGAATAAATACCGTTTTATCTATCTGGACGTAACTGCACATAAATTAGAGTAAGCTCATAAATTTTGTACTTGTTTTGCTTGTTGTTCCAGGGGAGACGAAAAAAATTAATTTATTCCAGGCTTTAACTGATGCTATGGATATAGCGCTAGATACAGATCCTTCAGCAGGTATAGGATTATTGATCGTGCCCAGGAAAAGAAATTCTTATGCGAGAAGGACTATATGTAGATTTTATAACTTAGAGATAAAAATGATAAAAAAATGATAATTGCTAATAATGTTAATGTATTGTGATTCTAAACAAGTATACATCACATATCTCTTTGTTTGTTTTTTTTCATTAGTAATTTTTGGTGAAGATGTGGCATTTGGTGGTGTTTTCCGATGTACAGTAGGTCTAAGAGAGAAACATGGTAAAGCTCATATTCTTAGTTATCTTGTGGTTTCAGAAAATATCCATACCTCCAGAGTTTCAAAGACGTTTCAATTTGATATTTTTTAGGCAAGGATAGAGTCTTCAACACTCCTCTGAGTGAGCAGGGTATTGTCGGGTTTGGCATTGGATTGGCTACAGCTGGGGCAACAGCCATTGCTGAGATTCAGTTTGCTGATTACATCTTCCCTGCCTTTGATCAGGTAGTGTGGATTCCCCGTGGTATTGTGGGTCATTCTTCTTACAAAATGTTATGGGTTCCCTGTGGTACTGATAATCATGATTCTTCCTAATAGCTTGGACTTCCTGTGTTCCTCTTTGGCATACCTACTAAAAGTGTGCACTTTATTTAGTAAGATTTGGTTGTAGTACTCCCATTTTGGGTTCCCTGTGGTGATTTATGTGGTAGTACTCTATGGGTTCCCTGTGGTGCTAATAGTCTCACTATTCATCTAATATTCTATTTCAGTTGGTGAATGAGGCAGCTAAGTTTAGATATCGTTCTGGTAATTTATTTGACTGTGGTGGTCTAACAGTGCGGGCTCCCTGTGGTGCTGTAGGGCACGGAGCTCATTATCATTCCCAGTCTGTTGAGAGTTTCTTTGCTCATGTCCCTGGACTCAAGGTGAGTATACAGTATTGTCTATACAACTCAACCTTCAATTAATGTTATTGATACCCTGGAACAACCTATGGGCGGATCAAAGTAACTTGCAGTTCAAATTGGAATTCAGTATGTTAGGTTTTGCAAAGGGAAGGAAAAATAGAGAACTCGGAGAAAAACCTTCGAATCAAAGGAGAGACCTAACAAACTCTACTCACATGTAAATGTAATGCCTAGTCCAGGAATTTATATCAAGACCCCAGGCGTAAAAGGCAAGGGCAATACTGCTACCCCTTTGTTAATCCCCACCTATTACACTGAGCAATATAGTACACTTATCCTTCTTTCATTGAAAATTAAGTCCTTCCTTGTTTGGCCGCCATCTTTAAGCAGGATTAAAACTACTTCTTCTCGGTATTTTAGTTAAACAAGGTTTGAAGCTTGTTTAGTTAACTGTGCGCGCAATGTTAATGGTCACTTGTTTGTTTAAACAACAACGTTTTTTTCTTTCCTTTTAGGTTGTCATTCCCAGAGGTCCGATCCAAGCCAAAGGACTGTTACTGGCCGCCATCAGGGATCCCAACCCTGTTGTATTCTTTGAACCAAAAATACTTTACAGACAATCAGGTAGGAGTCATCTTTTTACAATAAAAAGGCCTTTAAGCACTAGTAATATTTTCTTGATTGGCCAAACCTATAGTTTGAATTTTACAAGCATGCAATATACAAACTTGAGTGGAAATTGTTTAAGAAGTTACTGTAATTAACCATCCCTTGTGATTTCCACACTCTCTCCTTGTGGGTAGTTCAGTGGATGTTTTCTAAGACAACACCTTAAATCACTGAATTGTTCTTTCTTGTTTACCTGTTTCTAAACACAGTTGAAGAAGTTCCAGTCAAAGACTATATACTGCCACTATCACAAGCTGAAATTTTACAAAAAGGTATATCATATTCGGGCTTTTCACTTAATTTTAGAACAGATTTTTCCCAGTTCCTTCTCTGTCAGTTCTGCCAACCCCCCCCCCCCCCTCATCTCACAGGCGATCACCAAGCACAAAGGTCCATCATTTGTATTGTGAGTGTACAGCTGTTTCTTGTGGCAACTATTCCAATCAGAATTCACATAAACTCACTAACTTGTGAGTAAATTATTTACAACTTAGCTAGAATATTTCAGAATTCAAAACTCGGATTGCAGAAAATTGAATATAATTTGTGTCAATGTTTACAGTCCCGTCAAAAAGACAGAAAATTACCTTGAAATCCTTGTAGTACTCTTTAAAAGAGATATTTGGCTAATTCCACTAGGAAAACTGGAAAAACTGCTGCAACAGTGATTGCTTCACTTTTGTTTGAGTGACAACCATGAATGTTGTAGAAACATTGATTGATGCTAGTACCTAAACTTACATTTTCTTGATTTCAAACCGTACAGTTTACTTGCTGTTATATCATTAAGTCCTCACTCAGTATGTATCAATCATATCAACAGGAACAGACTTAACACTTGTCGGCTGGGGTACCCAGGTGCACGTGCTACAAGAGGTGTCCAAGATGGCCCAGGATCAGCTGGGTGTCAGCTGTGAATTGATTGATTTACGAACCATCATGCCATGGGATAAGGAGACTGTCATCCAGGTAATGCCTTGCTGCTGCCCAGTTAGCTCAGTTGATAAAACTGTGGTCTGTAGGCGGGAGACTGTGGTGCAAGCTTCCTCCTGGCCAACATTCTGAGTCTTAAAATAACTGAAGAGAACCTGCTGAATTTGTAATGACATCTGCAAATGGTTAGACCTTCACGTGGCTTGGATGATCACGTTAATGGCGGTCCCATCCCAAATCAACTAGAGACGTCAAAAGAGGACCACAAGTTTTATATCAGTTGAATTACCATCGAGTGTTATCCTCTTTAATTAAACAAAGTTTTTTTTTTTACAAAATCCGTTGATGTGAAGTTGAACCTATTGATGGTTTTCAACCATTCCCAAGAGAATTAAATAACGAAAGACATGGTGGCCATGTTGGAGGATATAACAAAAGAATTCGTTGACAATTCCTTTGTTATAGTCCTCCAACATGGCCACCATAAAAACCATCAATTGCAGTATGTGAAATTAGAGATCATCCAATAAACTTGCTTTAATGCAATAAATGCTCCAGTTATACCACCTCCCACCATTAGCACACACGTTCCAAATCTGAGATATCGGCATCAATTAGAAGCTGTTACATTCGCATTTGTATCAAGGTTGCATCATGTCCCATCATTTGCATAATGCAAATATTTCATCTCTCTCCTTGAGTTCTTAATCATTTTAATAATGTTGATTTCCTTCTTTTCCAGTCAGTAATGAAGACTGGCAGACTACTTGTAGCTCACGAAGCATGTCACACTGGAGGATTTGGTGGTGAGATTTCCAGTACCATCCAGGTAGGAATGATCTTTTTATTCTGTGCAAAGTTTCCTTTTAACAGCACTAGGCTACATTTTGCAATATATTTCTTTAGCTTCAGTGTAATGTTTTACCCATTTTCTCATGCCTTTCTTTAAGAATATAATTCTTTGTATGAGTGGCATTCATATTTGTCTTCTCATGTGCAACTGTTAAACAAAGAAATGATACTCTAGGGAATGACACATGGTCTAAGTAATATTTAAAAAAATGAGCAGGAGTGTTTTATCGGATGTAAAACACGAGGCGCAGCCGATCGTGGTTTTAGACCCGATAAAACATGATCTGCGAGATTATTGAACGGCTTAGAAAACTCATGATGTATGTTCTCATATTGTACCGAATTCCTTACGAAATGAACCAATTTTGATATAGAAAATCCAAGTTAAAGTTTATGCAAATGAAGAGGAATCTATATCAGATATAAAATCACCTTCATGGTCATGATTTCTATTGTGTTTTCTTCATGAATTATTAATGAGTTTTCTAAAATGGAAAAAAAACATTACAACTAAAATAAAAAAGGTCAATATTTCAATATTGCTCACATCCTTTTCCCCTGAAGTTGCCAAATTTACGGTTTAGATTCAATTTTATTTAAATTCTATCATCTTTGTTTTTTTTTAGGAAAACTGTTTTCTGTCTCTTGAGGCCCCAGTTCAGAGAGTTTGTGGTTGGGACACACCTTTTCCTCACATATTAGAGCCATTTTATCTGCCTGACAAGTGGAGATGCTTTGAAAGTGTCAAGAAAGTCATGAATTACTAAACTTTAAAACTTTAAATGGATAAACTTCTGAACGCAAAACTGTGTGGTGCTTCTGGGGAAATTCAGTCTTCTGTGACTGTAAGGGTTGTTAGATGGAGTGTTGTGTGACAATGCTAACAGAGGCAATTGTAGACTAGGAATCCCATGAAACATTGCTACAGTGTGACTTGTTCAGAAGGCAAATAACACAGAAAAAATACATCATTATTTAAAAAGTCACAGTTTGGTGTTGTTTTACAGATAGCTAGTCATGTAATGATAATGGTAGACACTAGAGTGGTTTTAGTATGTTCACTCCAGAGTGAAGTCACTAAACCTGTGAAATGAATATTAGACTAATACATTTTAGTAGACCCTTAGAGTGATTTTCATAAACCCGTGAAACAGATATCATTATTTTAATGTGTAATAGTGAAATGACAACAAAAGAACACAATGGAATTAGGGTCTACTAATGTATACTAGGCTAGTGTGTATTTCACGGGTTTATGAAAACCACTCTATTCCATTTGTTTTCTTTTGTGTCTATTTGACAGGGTTCGTGCTACATTTTCGTTACAAAATTAAAGGACTTTTTAAGCACTTTTCAAGCACAAAAATTCGATTTTCAAGGACAAAGTTTTTTGTATTAGAACCTGGTTTAAACATTGATTCAATGTTACAGTGCAGGACATTGCAGCTAATTCCGCCGGGGCCACGTCCACCAATAAAAAACGATCATGACATGCAACCAACCAGTAAACAAGCACCCAGAAACTCTTAAATCAATTTTAATTGTTATTTATTTCAAAAGGAAAGTTAGAAATAACATTAAGTTTGCATTAAATTCAAGGAGTATTCCAGGAGTTTTGGCATTTTTCCCTATTTTCAAGGGCTTTTCAAGTGCCCTTGTAAACGTGTTTTCAATTAAAGGACTTTTCAAGAATTTCAAGGAGTAGCACGAACCCTGATTTGACTATTTATTACAGGTTGTAATTTCTATTTCACAGGTCAAATGCCTTCACTTTATCACAAATCTACTATAATAATAGTCATAATATCTCTTTTTCTGTGCTTTAGAGAAACCTCATAATCTCATCAGATATTTGTGAGCAATGAATGAGGACAGTTTAGAAGAATGAAATAAAAACGCCCTTTCAAAATTGATAATCGTTTTAATTTTCTGTTATTTTTTGATCTTGTCTCATGATTCAATTCAAACTAGAGTGGTTTCCATAAACCCGCAAAACAAAGTCTATTTGTTAGAGTGTAATAATCAATACGATAGAAAACAGAACAAGTACATGTAGAGTGTAATAGAGCATTTTCACATAATGTAACAATAGCCATGTTTGTGTACCACCAAAACAATACACTTTCTATCCTCCGAGAATTGAACTCTAATTTTATGCAAAAACTGCGCAGAAAGTTTCTATTGTTTGGTACACCAATATGGCTGCCTTACTTGTCACGTAAGTGAAAAAGCTCTAAGTACTAAATACCCTAAAGTGTATTTCTCAGGTTTATGAAAACCAATCTAAGCCAGTTTGCTGTTATCACCTCTCACTCAAACCAGAACGATAGAATTCTCTATTTTCATACTGTCAACTAAAATACTAAGTAATTTAGGTTTTTCAGCTTTCGCCATCAACACATTAAATCTGCTCAAGCAAAGCATACTAGCTCACAATAATATTAACCATTCCAACTGAGCCTGGTTATATGAAGGGTGGATAGTGCTATCCACTGGATAAATCTTTATCAAGTGGATAAGTTGATGCTGTTATCCAATAAATCTATTTGCTAGATAAGGTTCCCAACCTTCGTACAACCAGGCCCTGGTTGATAAAAAAAAAGAGGTACTCTGGTGTTTGCATTGCATTGTGGGAATGTTTGAAGGGACAAATTTCAAAGATTACATCTATTTTGTCTAAACAGTCCCAAAGTGCACATATCTATTTTGTCTTAACACAGGGAGCCAAGCATGCACCACAATCTTGATAGGTAGCCATGCCTTTGCATCGAAACAAGATGAGCAATGAGCTTGCAATGATAGAGACCTTTTTTTTGTACAATTATTATTCACATCTATTATTGCAAGCTTACCTTTTGTCTTGCTTCGATGCGAAGGCATGGCTAGCCTGCATAGCTCAGCTCTCCCCTCCCCTCATTTCCTCTCCTCCCCCCCTAGGGCCGAGCTACGCAAGCTAAGGCATGGCTACTAGTACCCCTTGAGATGGTGCAGGGAACTGTCAAGGTGACTATAAAACAATTTTGGATTCATAGAAATATCAAAAGTGTATCAAGATGTAGAATATTGGGCATTCTTACTTACAAAGTTCTTTTTTTATTTTTGAGAATTAAAGTCTACATCCTAATTAATATTTTTTACAGTTCAGATGGAGAAAATAAGGAAAGCAATGATTTTGATCATCAAAATACCAAAAATAGACATTAATTTTAGCTTTTACTTTTAAATGTGTTGTTAATTCTAATTGCTTAGGAAGAGGAAGTACTGGGCAACAGTTATTTACTTTACCACAGGGAACCCAAAAACCAGAATTTAACCACCAACTGTAGATGTGTCCCAGGCCTTTTAGCTTTCCTTTTTGTTAAAGAAGTCTGGGAACTAATAAGTCAACCTAAGGAGGGAGGGGTGGGTGTCAAAAACTTTAATTCAATCTTGGGTGAAGTTGTGTTTAGAGATACTTATGAATTTAATATCATATTATTGATAGCTTCAATCTAATAACAGCAATAGAGAATATTAGCGTCAAGCTGTGCGGCACTGTACTGGATTGTCATCATTCTCATCATCGTCAACAGTAGAGAATCTTGTCCGATAACCCATGTTCATTAACATGACCTCTAGCGGGTCAGCATTCATTCGCTTTTGGTTTGCTCTTGCAGCAGCCTCAACCTCCTCAACTTGTCGTCCTTCAGCCTTGCCGTCCAAAGGTCTAGGACCCCATAACCGTATGACAGGGTCTATACCACTTGTTGCTAGGAGACAAATAGAAGGGTGTGGTTGTAAGCAGTTGACGATCGAGTCGTCACCCTTAAGGACACGGAGAAGGTTTGTAGTCTCTTTATCCCATAAAAAGAAAGAGCCATCGTCGCTGCCTGCAACAACGTATTGTCCATTACTCCCAAAGAAATTAGCTTCTTTAATATCAGTCGTTGTGTTGCAGTGTCCACAGAATCGCCTGCTGTAGTCATAGCAATAGGACCTGAATACTCTTTCCTGGTCTGATATGACACTCATTCTTCTCTGTCGACGGCGGGATGACCCTCCTTCTGTTCTAGTGTTCTTATCTGAAGAGCCGTTTTCATTAGGTTCTGAGGAATTAATACGAATAAAATACTAATATTCAGCATGTAATTATGAGTGACGACAGACAGACAGATTGCAATACCATAAAAATGGTAAGGAAGATACAAGGACAGACTGATGCAGGAATATATAGTCCAAGAGCATAGTAGGAACATTGTATGGATGGACTTTGATACTATCAGATAGAGCAAGAGGATGGACAGACAGACGTTAGACATGCAGATACTATCAGACAGACAGACAGCACATATAGGTGGGCACACATAGGTGGACTCACAAAGAGAAATGACAGAAATATATGCTTCAAGAGAATGGACAGACAGACAGACAGCACATATAGGTGGGAACACAAAGAGAAATGACAAATATTACAGTATGCTTTAAGAGAATGGAAGGACAGACACCTATGAATGGGTAGACATAGAGACTAACAGACAGACAGACAGCACACAGATGGGAAAACAAAGAGAAAGGACAGAAATATTACAGTATGCTTTAAGAGAATAGAAAGACAGACACCTATGAATGGGTAGACATACAGAGACTAACAGACAGACAAAAAAACAAACCCCATGTACCTTCAGTCTCTGCAAAAGCAGCAGCTTTGATCTCTCTTTCCAGTGTCTTAGCAGCAGTACCATCAGCTTGTTCAGGGAACTTTGTTTTGAACTGATTCAAACAGTACTGAGCCTCTTGGCACCAGCGCAACTCATACAGACACCTTGCTTTCCTGAAGTGTGCTTTGGTATTGTGTGGGTCTAAACCCAGGGCAATATGACAGTCACGTAATGCCGCATATATATCACCATCCCTGGTTGAAGTTTAAAAATGCCTTGATGTTAGTTACTGCCGCTTCCATTGCTATGCAGCCACCCCAGATAAAAATTGTGATGTGCACTTTGCAATAGACTGCCGTCAATCAATTCAAAAGGCGCCAAAACTTGTCGATTGCTTACAAGTATTATGAGCCACGCTCACCGGGCCGATCCAGGCCAATCTAAACATGTGTAAATGACGTCAATTTGTTTGATTGACGGCAGTCTATTGCAAAGTGCACGTTACGATTTTTGTGTGGAGTGGCTGTGTAGCAATGCAAATAGCGGTAACAGTGGCAAAGTTACTAAAAATACTACTGGAATATATGCATTGCCAAAAATATCTATATCCCTCCACAAATTGGGAACAGACCATTTTCGAGTTCCAAATTACTGCCTTGCTCCTTGATTACAGACTCATTTACTCAGGGTTAGCCTCATATCAGTGTCTAAATATTCACAGATGCCAACGGTAAAGAAAAAATGCATAACTTGACTGGAACACTTGAATATTCTGCACAAAATAACCTTGACTGGAACACTTGAATATTCTGCACAAAATCGAGACTAACCCTGTGTAAATGAGTCCGTAATCAAGAAACACAGCGGTAATTGCCCTATAACACTATGACGTCACATCAAAACAATCTATCATCTTAATGCTCATGATCATGGTCGCCAGAGGGGGCAAAATAGCAGCAAAACGAATTAAATCACAATAAAAAATGGTTAATTAGGCTGGGAAAGGTGAGAACAGATAAATGTTGTACTAAATATCCCGAACGAAAGAAAATTTCGCCTAAATTCCTATCATTCTTGCCCATGTAAACAAGCTGTGACGTCATAATGTTATAGGTCAATTTGGAGCTCAAAAATGGCCTATAGAAATTAGGAGGTTTAACCCTTTATGTTTCAAATTATAAGGCAAAATCTAGAGCTTACTGAATAATACTCTTTAAACTTAAGGGCCTCTTTGGATTTTGGCAGCTTGAAAGCACGGTCCCCTGTGGGGCATTCTCTCGTGTGGTGGTGGGGGGGGGGCGGGGAAGGAGGGTCCGAGGAGGCAAGCAGTAATCCTCTTGCAGGTGGCAAGGTAATAATTTAAATAATATATAATTTAATAGTATTTAATAATAAATTCTGCATTTACTTACCAGGCTCGTTTGATGTAAGCTGCAGCACGGTTAGCATAAAGAATAGCAGAATTAGGAGCCAGACTGATAGCCTCATTGTATGCATTAACCGCAGTCCAAAACTGCTGCTTACAAAATGCTTCATTTCCTAAAGCCTTTAATTCTAGCGCCTTTGGCGGCAGATCCTTGCGTAGACTAGAACTATTCAAAACTTTATGTCCATTGGTTGGCTTAGATAATAAGAGAGTTTTACCATTCACTGGCAGAATTTTAAATCCATTGGTAGTTCCATTAGCAACATTAGAATTATTGTCACATGTAGCAGATGACATACAGTCTATGACATCCTTAACAACACCATTGCTCGTAATAGAATCACTGAGTCCATTAAATTGTCGATAGCCTACAACTGATACGGGTTTCCTTATGTCAAACAAATAAATCTGCTCTCCACCAAGATTTACAATCACTTCATTGCCGTCAGGGCTGAAGTTAACATATGTTGCAACGAATGCACGTAATGGACGAGGGAAGTCCTTACTCAACCGAGGGGGTAAATGACCTGGTGCAAAGTACTTGACGCAGCCTACAGGAAGTCGAGCTTCCTCCAGACTGGTTGAACCTCCGTTAGTAGCTTTTTGTTCCAGCGATGAGTTTTGTGTCGATAGCATTCTGTGATCATATACACGCACAAATGGATCATTGCATCCTACGGCCATTAACTCCGGTCGAACAGGATTGATTGCAATGCACTTTGCTTCTGCCATTGCACCAACATGAACGTTGAGATTAATAAGTACATTTTTGCAGTTTTTGTTGCTGCTGGAGTTACATGAATGAGCTTGACGAAGATCAAATTGCCTGGAAAATAAATTTWAAAAAAATCACTTAAACAATAAATTCCCACAAACTGTTTTCATTGCTACGCAAAGATGGAGACAACAGTCAAAACATGGAAATCATTCCCAAGAACTATAACATATCCATTGGTCCTTGTTTTAATGAGGGTCGCACTTAACACTCAGTGGCTAACAAACCTGTGGCCCTCGTTCGATGATCGAATTTTGGAATTCAGGAGCTGATTTTTGTGGAGGGAGGAAAACTGGAGAACCCGGAGAAAAACCCTCAAAGCACAGGAGAGAACCAACAAACAATTCTACTTACATGACACCAAGCCTAGCGAGGCTCAAACCTGGTTTGCATTGGTGAGAGGTGAGCACTCTCGCCACAATGTCACTCATGCTTCCCATTACATACTCTAAAAATGATCTATTTGACTAGCGGCAGTCTAATGCCCAATGTATGTCCATGTTGCTACTGTTGCATGCAACAATGAAAACAGTGTGGTACATGTTATTTATTTAATTATTATCCAATGGAAGAATTTGTGGTCTGAGGCAAAACGTTTTTTGTACTTTCAATGTTTACATGTAAGTGCAAAGTTTTTGTGGACTGATTGTTCAGAAGTATTCTCTTCCTATGAAGCAGGCAATATACTGTCAATTCAAAAAATGTTGTCGTCAACCAACTCAAGTCTACGCGACTGGACCGAAAGGAACTCTGGGTAGCAATCATTGAAGCCGAGTTGACTCCATAATTTTATCTGACTAGTTATGCCTTGTTTACAGCATGAACCTTCGTAGGCAAGCGAGAAGCGTTGAAGGAGACTTTTTTTTAATGCCTTCATATTTTCGGAATTGTGAACTGAATATAACTACTTTGTTTTTCTTTCCCTAAACCCGAAGACATGCATTTGATGGATTGTTTCTCACCATTATTATTTTATTTCTAGCGCGCGGGAACAATTAATTCAGAACGAATATTTAACTGCTTCAGTGATTTTTACCCATATTCCTTTCGCTCCAGTCGCGTAGGCTTGAGCCGGTCGACCACAATGTTTTTTGAATTGACTGTATATTATCTAGTAAATGATCGAGGAGAATTTGCAAATTCATCAGAATTGCAGACAAAATGAATGAAAATGCAAATAGATTTATTTATGAAAAGCAATATTTCCTGATAACATTTTGATTTCTAAGCAAGAAGATTTTAACTGTTCATCATCAGAATGACATTCTTTCCTGTATGATACCTTATCGTGCCATCCTCTGATGCACTCCATAACATATCAGGTGAATTGGGGGCTACGGCAAGTCTCTTGACACGCCCAATGTGACAGTGAAATGCACTTGTGTTCTCTGCTTTCTCGACACTGTGGATACGCACTTTGGCATCAGCAGCGGCAGTTGCTACAATTTCATCGTTAGTGCATGGAAGGAACTGAAATGAACAGCATAAGTAGTGATCACGTTAGATGCTTATAATAACCGATGGACATTTTTAGCTTGGACAGATATTTTTCTATTTTCAGACCATTCGTTATTCCCTATAATATTATTTCTTTGTTTAACACTTGCTCATGACAAGTCCCATAAATAATAATTATTATATGGATGCAAYTCGTTCAAGCAAGAGATTCTCAAGAGATTCATGTTTTCTCAAGAGATTCATGACACATGGTCTGAAATGGAAGAAATGAATTTTTGAAACTAAAGTTTGGAAAATTTTCCAAATAAATGCATGTGTCTAGCTTGTTAATGAGGCTTTTGATGCACGCAATGTGTTAGTGCCAGGATACATTTATTTGCAAAAATGCTTCAGGTTTAAAAATAATATCTTTGTCATCTTAAGGGCAATCTTTACAAAACTTTGTAATTTTACTATTTTCAATGTGAAATTTGAAAGTTTTGCTTTTTACTCTACCTTAACAGAGAATATATTTCCAGTGTGTCCAGTGCTTATTGTACATAACTTTCTCTTGCGCAGTGGTTCCCATACAATTGCATTAAGGTCATCAGAACCTGATGCCAATAGCCTGTTAACGAACAAGTTATTTATTCATTTTTATAAAATAATTGGGATAGTACGCGCGCTACGATTGGTCGAAAACCATGTTTGATGAGGGTATCAAAACACGTTCGCGTCATTTTAGCGCGCGCGAGTATCGCAACTGTCAGATTTTAATCTATCGTGTGCGCTCATTGGTCAGTTTGAAAAAGACAGCACATAGGGAGAATTTACTTAGATTTGCTTTTTTTCGATCTTTTCGCGAGTTTGTTATTTTATAAAACAAATCAAAAACAGTTTTCCGCTACGCATCGTGGTTTCCTACGCTCCTCTCGTGTTCTCCCAACATCCTGCATGTTTTGATCAAAGTATCAAACATGGAAAACTGTTTTTATCTGTTAAATTAGAAAGGAGATAAAATGTAAAGGCAGGTGTAATTCATTTTACTTTGATAACCTGAAGCGTGATTGCCCAAACCTTTCGAGCTAGGGGCTCGAGTACAAAGCCCTCGAATGTGTACCATTGGCACCTTCAGACTATCAGTGCTTCTTTCAAACCATGTGAAATTTCAATTGTTTGCTTGGGCTACCTGTGGTGAACCCCTCAGGTTTCTTGAGTACATTTAAAGAAAGTTAGGCCCTTGAGCTATACTTACTGTCCAGTGGAGTTCCATTCAAGACAGTTCACACATCCAGTATGACCCTGAATACAACAATTAATTCAAATGAGAAAATAGAAGAATCAAATAAATATGTGCAATTATGCATTGGTAGAATGGGTGGTGTAATGGTCAAGTTTTTGCCTTTCACTTTTGTGGTCCGCGTTCGAGTCCAGGCTCAAGCTGGATCACATGTGAGTTAAGTTTGTTTAATGTGTTGTTTGAATGTAAATATAGAATGTATTGGTAGAATATGAGGTCGGAGCAAAACTCACCCCTCTATGGTGCATGTCAATGGTTGTACAATAATAATAATTTTTTATATAAAGTAATACCTAAAATGTATGTTTTTAATAAAAATCCCAATGCTAAAATAACACTTTTTTTAGATAATCTTATTCACAATATTCTTGATATACATAAGTCACTTTTCATGAGAATAAAAGAGCAAAAGATAGGCCTGCCATGTTGGTTTACATAACGAAGAAAGAAATCAACGTCAAGTCATTCGTAAAAAAAGTCATATTATACACAATACATTTAAGATGTCAAATGCAATACCAAAAAAATATTCTACCCTGTAAATATTTAAATTGTGAACAATGTTGCACTTCTATGAATAGAAAAAGGATTCATCAAAATTTTTTGACATAACTTTTTTCTTATTTTGATCCCAAATAAYAATATTATTTATTATATAATTACCAATGAAATATCTATTTTTCTCTATTTCGAAAAATTGATATCTTCACACGTGAAAATAACATGTCATTTTCACGTGTGAAAATAACATGTCATTTTCACGTGTGAAAATAACACCATTGCGATGGCTATTCAAAAATACAAGGAAAGAATTGCCTGAAAAAGCCAAAACATATTTCATTGATAATTATATAATAAACAGAATATTACATGGGTGCTTGGAGATACGAAATTTATCTTCTCATGTTGAAAATCTCTCAGTCGTTTGCTGCGCTCACTTGTGAGAGATCTTTTCAACACTCGAAGATAAATTTCGTATCTCCGCGCGCCCATGTAATATCCTCTATTTAATGTAAAGAAATCATGCATTATTTTAAAGGGTACAGTGTCAAAAATGAAATCTAAAAAAATTCAGGATTTCAAATACTCTAAGAGTATTTTTAAGAATCATGACATGGCTGTTTTTCAGTCACATCTTTCCTCTCAATAAAGATAAATAAAAAACAATATTGATGACAAAAAATAATTTGTAGAAGATATATATTGGGTAAATGGTTAACTTGCTTGATTTTTGATTTGAAGTGCTTGTTTTTTGAGAAGGAAAGAGAAAAGGAAATATTGGACTACAAACAAAATCTTACTGTCTGCATGAGTATTGACTGTTATTAAGTAAGATCCTTAAAAATCTTGCAACATGCAAGTAAAATAATAGTATTTTTTATAATAATAAAAATATAATAATAACAATAATAATAATCATCATCATTCTCATCATCCTCACCATCCTCACCATCACCACAGTACTATCATCATCATCCTACCCTCATCATCACCATCATTTCAAAGAGTTACAGTCATAAGAATCATTTTCAATGATTATTCTAATTTATAGTATCTGCCATTATGACAAAGGGCTATTAAAAAATATAAAAACCATTAAAAACTATATTTTATCCGTTTACTGGCTTCGGGAAATACCCTTCCACAACCTGCAATATAATAATCCAGATCTTGTACCACCACCCTTTTATCACTGGGGAGATTTCTTTAGTAATTTACTCTTTATTGTTTTCTTAATCTGTATTAATCTCTTATCTGCTCTTGTAGCGACAACCACGTGTAGGAGGAGTGTGATCAGAATAGTGGGTGTTAATGTATGCAGTAGCTGAACTCTAAAATCAAACAGGGCATGGAATTATTAATCTCCATGATGCAAAAATTGTAAGCAGTGAGAAGAATAACTACAAAAGACTTGGAAGCTTGGTACTCCATAAAAGATTCTAAGTCAATGAACAACTTTCTGCTAGCAGCGTCTCCCTCATGTGCGATCCAATGGAGGGAGACTCTGCTAGCAGGGAAAAAAATGATGCAAAAATCGTAAGCAGTGAGCAGAATAACTACCAAAGACTACTTGGAAGCTTGGTACTCCATAAAAGATTCTAAGTCAATGAATAACTTTCTGCTATCAGAGTCTCTCTTGTGTGCGATCCAATGGAGGGAGACTCTGCTAGCAGAGAAAAAACACTGTATGAAGCTTCCAGAAAACATGTGGAACGTTTGTATGGGACTCTAGCGCGTGTAATAACACCAACATTTAAATATGTGTGCCCAAATACTAATGGCACACCAATTGAAACCTCTGTAAAAATGTATCAAAAGTTCTGAGGCAAACAGTTTAAGTATTGAAACTAGAACTTACTATTTTTTTCCAATCTTATCTTATGGCATTTCTTTTTTCAAAGAGTGTAGCTTAGAAATATTGGCCCTGAAATATCCACTGCACATGGTCCAAACATTCGTTGGAAAATATGTAAATATTATTGACCCCAAAACCATGATTTTTATTGCCCCCAAAGATAAATATCAGAATATTGCTGATATCAGAATATTGCTCAGAAAAATAATAAAGATTTTTACCGCAAAGATAAAACCTGGGATTTCGTGTATATATAAATTAAATCCCCAAATCGTAGAGAAAAAATTCTTATAATCGTAATTAACAAGTTGTGGTCGTTAAGAGAGAGTGATATATAGAGAGAACAATTAACACTCTAGGGAATAAAATCCAGAAATACCAGACGAATTAGGATTCGAAGTTTTACACGAAATTGTACTCACGAACAAATTTTTGATCTGAAACTATTAGAGATTACTTTTTGGGTAAATTCTTTCAGAGTATTCGTATGATTAAAGCAATTGCGTATTTTTTTACAATAATTCAAAGACTCAGCCGACAAGAAAACAATATTGTAAATTAACTTAGCTGTCGGCTATAATTCTGGCACGCAACACTTGATGGATGAATTTTTAGGAATATTTAAAGAAGTAAACAAGAGATGAAATCTTTGTCTGTCCGCTCACGAAAACCCTAATAATAATCAAGTTTGGGATAATTAAAGACGAGTTGTTTTAGCTCATTGTGATTGAAAGAAAATGGGTTGTGTTATGAGATAGAGTAAGGAAAACAGAGGATTTAGAAAAAGTATTTTTAAGTTGCGTGCATCGTGGGTACTGACAGTAATGGCTATTGACTGAAGACAATATAAAATCACAGGTTTTTTAGAGGGATTCTTCCACTATAACACAAAAGATTCAAATGAAGGCAAGACTGACTTACCTCGAGTTCTGAAGTCAAACCAAATCTTTCAGTAAAAGAAGGAACAACATGCATTTGGCGTTCAAATCTTCGCGTGATCAGCGACTGTACACAAAAACCAGACCAAAAAACGTTTGGAATAAATTAAATGTTGGCATAAAATAAAATTTCATCACGTTAGAGTTTCCGAAACGCTTCCTACTTACGTCAGTCTCTCTTCTGTTCAGCCAACTTGTTATATTCTTACTGTTCATGGTAGTAAACAAGAGTGTTTACAAGACTGAAAGTAGACTTTTCTTCTCCCTTCTTGTCGAGAGCTGCGTTATCTAAACTTTCACAGACACGAACCCCCAAAAAATCACGGTTAAACTCCTCTTCCCATCGTGAAACTCACCCAGCGCGTTAACGGATTAATACTCTTGCCAGACATGAGGGATTCGAGGTTGAAGCATTAAGTATTGGGAATATTTTGAGCATTTCGCTTATACACTTTTCTGTACGGTGAATATTTTTGTTGGACGAACCAACATTTCTCCAGCAGGTGGCTGGGTAACCAGGCCTTGGTCAAATGCACCATGGGAAACGCCCTCTCCCTAATGTCACGGAGACTAGCCTCAGAGTGCGTGCAGTACCTATATCCCTGGGGGGGTACTCCGCCAGAATTTGGGTAGGGGTGTTCCGCTGGGATTCTGAAAGGGGTACCCTGTTTATGATAAAAATAAAATAAAATAAGAATAATAAAAAATTGTGGACCCTGTTTATGACAAAAGATATCATTTATTGCAATGAGTTCCTGTTTCAATAAATCATCATGTCATCTCGCGTATCGTTTTTTTAAGACCATAATAACCAGTTTCGGTCAATACGAAAGTAGTATCCCTGAACATGACAGGAAACTCAGGAAGAACTTGGAACTTGAGTGAAATTGCATGCCCTGTTTATGATAAGAAGCTCAAAAAACCATACCCTGTTCAGCGGATCATCCCCGTATAGTCCATATATGGGAGTACTCCCCCGGGACCTATATAATGTTATTCCATCTCTTATACAAATAAAAAGATATAACTAGCTAAAAACTACCTTTTCATCATTACTTATACAAATATATATTTTCAAATTCCTAGAAAAAGTGCTCACAGCGTTTGTTATCATGACAGACCTTTTTGTTGGTAGACTTTCAAGAGAGTCCTGAAGGAGTAAAGTGGGAGCTGGAATTCCCCTTTTTTGGCTGGGAAAATGGGATTGTTTTCACTGGGAATGGGATTCACAAACAAAACAAAAAATCAATCAAAAAATGGGAATGGGATTGAGATTTGAGCAAAATATAGGCTGGGACTATGGGATTTGGTCAAAATGGGGGCTGGGAAATGGGATAAGGTTTTGTTTCTGTCCTCACATTATTTGCATATGAATATAGGGCTGTAGCCACAATTTTCTGATTGATCCGGTTTTCAGCTTTCTTACTTTTTTTTGTTTTTATTTTATTTTTTCCTGAAAGAGGGTCCAGTTTCAACAAGACCAACYGTACTGGTGGCTACGGTCCTGCATGGAATATGTTTCATTTCAAGCTTCACAAACAACATGCACTGTTGGAACATGCAACATACACTTATGAACATGCAACAAGTCCTTCACCACCAACCCACCTTTTTTGAAATATGTCTATACCAAACAAAGGGGATACAAAAACACTCTTTGGGGAGTGGACAAAATATTCCTTAACCCTCTTAAAATTGACCAATAAAACAGCTGATGGAATGATTAACGAAAGCAAGGAGTACATCTCCATGTTTTTTTTTATATAACCATGTAAAGACTATCTTATCATAAATAGCTAGGACTAAGATATACACACATTAGTTTCAATAGACCCTTTTGAATTCCTAAAATACCAAAGGTGTTTATAGTGGATCACACATGTACACTAGAATAGCCTTATTTTAGCATGAAATATTTACAATTACTGTCTACTGCAATGTAAAGAACTAACTTTGAAAATATAATAGAACATTTGCATTGTGTCGTCATTAACTACAACTACCACAATCCCTTGCAGACTTTCTTTTGTTCAGTTAATAAGCATCAATAGACCCTTTTGAGTTCCAAATTACCACTGTGTTTCTTGATTACAGACTCATTTACTCAGGCTTAGCCTCGATTTTGTGAAGAATATATATGTGCTCTAGTCAAGGTCTGCCAAGTTTCAAAGTGTTCGTATTGTTGAAGTTGTGCACTCTTTACTTTACCGTTGGTATTTGCGAGTAATTAGACACTGATTCAAGGCTAAGCCTGAGTAAATGAGTCTGTAATCAAGAAACACAGCGGTAATTGGAACTCAAAACTGGACTATTGCATTTTCATGGGGCAATACAAATTTGAACAAAGAAAATTGGCAAAGTATTTTTGTAGTGGCATTCAAATGATGTCATCATGCAAACCTCATACAGACCCCTTTGCAGCACTTCAGAATGCAGCTCAATTTGTAGGACATTACAATAGGTTTTCAATTCTCCTGAGATCGAAATTCTTTTGTTTTGTCCTCCAAGTGGAGCTCCTTTTACGCCACATGCAAGGGTTCTATTCCACAGACTTTCACAAAAATATTTATTTATAATTTCCAAATTAAAAAAGGAACATTGAACCATCCAAAACAAAACTAATAAAAACAAAGATAAACTCTGACTATAACAAAGAACTCAAAACTGAAAAATCCATCTATTTACAGATATACACCGGTATTTGAAAAAYGATTTCTATCATTGATAATGTGCTGCACAGCTCATATTTTAATAATCAGGTTAATGAAATAAATTAATGACAATAAATGCTAGCATTTGAATTTACGAAGAGTAAAATTTCGCTTTATGATCATGACTGAAATTATCCAAACGAAATACTGAGACTAGGCACCTTCACAGTCAGGGSCGTATCTATGGAGATTCATGAGGTTCACCACAAATGAACCCCTTAAATGACAACAAGGGACTCCCCTAATGAGATGATTTCAATTTTATCCAACCCTCATTATGACAGCCATGATATCATATGCTCTCTGATTGGTTATTTAGCATGCGCTATCTGGCGTCCAAAATTTGATGGGGCACACTGACATGATTGGTTAGTGCGTGCAATGTAATTTAGATTTCATTAAGAAAATTTTTGATTTTTTTCATTAACAGTTAAAAGCATTGGTCATCGATTAGCATGCTTCCATCAAGTTTTGGGTGCACTTGGTTAATTGCTTGAGCACTTGATTGGAGGGTTTTTCTCTGGTTTCTCCAGTTTTCCTCCCTCTGCAAAACCAACAAGCTGAATTCTAATTAAATCTGTGAGTTTGCCATGCCCTGACTTAGATCAGCCCAGAGGTTGTTTCAGGGTTC